CATATTGTCAGGAGGGAGCAGTCGCTGGAGAAGGATATCATGTTTGGTAAGATGGAGGGTCAGAGAAAAAGAGGAAGACCCCCAGCGAGATGGACTGGGCAAATGGCAGCATCGATCAACTCAAGCGTGGCAACAGTAGTGAGGTTGGCCCAGGATCGGGCAGTGTTTGGTTCTGCTGTGCATAAGGTGGCTATGGGTCGGTACTGACTCAATGGCACCTAACAACAACAACAAAATGGAATCCTGGTGTGGCACTGTGGGTTAATGCGCTGGACTACAATGTCAATTTGCACCACAAGGTCGGCAGTTCAAACTCACCAGTCACTCCTCAGAAACCCTCTACAGGGTCACTAAGGGTTGGAATGACTCGATGGCACTTAACGACAACAACAACAACAACATATGCCTCCTATAATCTACCCAAATGCTTTTCACAATAAAACGAGGTTGGTGTTAAGTGCAGTTGAGTTGGTTCCAACTCACAGTGACCTTGTACAGAGTTTCCGAGAAGCGGCTAGTGGGTTTGAACTTTCGGCCCCGTGGCTGACAGTCCAGTGCTATCCCTCCACTGGCACACCAGGATTCCCAATAAACCAACATATAGGAGCTCGAGCACAGCTGGTTCCAGGAGAGGGTGCTAGAGACGGAAGGAACACACCGAGAACCTTGTAAACATTTTGGAAGAAGACACAAACCCATGCTTGTGCCCCAGGTTCTCGGCTGGCCTCAGTCTCGGAAGGCTGGCTCTAGGAATGTTTGGTGGCAGAAGACCGAGAACCCTGGGCCTGTACTTGGAGCCACAGCTGCACTAGGGAGGGAGAACAAAAGACCATGTCAGCCTGGGTTGGGCCCAGCCCCACACTTGGCTGCAGTGATCCGAGCCAGCCCATAAGAACCTACCAGATGGTCTGTTGAAGGTAACCAGGGCTGGTTGCTGCGGCTGCGGCTGAGGCTGCGGTGGCTGGGGCTGGGGCTGCGGCTGCTGCTGCGGCGGTTGTTGTTGCATACCAGGTAATGCCCTTTTCCCCTGGACTGCAAGCTGCAGAGTTTCCGGGAGGGGCTGGCCACGGGCCAGCATCTTGTAAGCTAAAATCTGAGCTCGAAGCTGGTGTAGCTGGACAGGGCTGAAAGGCGAAGAGCCCCTAATGGGCTGGCTCATGGCCTGCGAATCGGTGGGGATGAGGGGGCCTGGCTGGCTGGATGGCATCTGGGGTGGTGTTGGGCCCCCACCAGACATAGGGCTGGACACGTGCTCTGGGGCTCCCAGCGGAGACGGGTGTGGGGACAAATAACCTGAAAGGAAACACAAAAGGAGGTTACAGGCTGCTTACGACCCTGAGAGGCATTTCTGACGAGTCTGAGAAGTTTCAAGAACAGCACCATCCAATAGAAATAGAATTCTAAATTTCCTAGTAGCTGAGGAAGCAGTTCACTGGGAGTCGAGAACAGTTTGCTGCCAGCAGCTAAAAAGTTGACCGCTTACACCCACCCGGTAGTGCTGCAGAAGAAAGGTCTGGCCATCTGCTTCTGTGATGACGAACGCCAAGAAAACCGTATGGAGCAATTCTATTCTGTAACACGTGCGGCCGCCATGACTTGGAATCCACCCAAGTACACAGCAACAGGTGTTTTGTTTTGTTTTTTTAGTAATCACATTAAAGACATAAAAGAAACAGGTAAAACTCATTTTAATTCTAGTGCTTGTTAGCCACCGTTGAATTGACTGTGACTTACGGTAACCTTATGCCTTGTGAAGTGCCGTCAAGTCGGTTCCAACTCATAGTGACCCTGTATAGTTTCCTGAAGCTGGAAATCTCTGTGGGCACAGAAAGCCTCATCTTTCTGCTCCCACTAAGGAGCAGCTGGTGGGTTCAAACTGCCATTCTTGTGGTTCGAAGTCCATTGCTTATCCTACAGAGTCACAACGGTCCCCAACCTTACATATAACAGAACAAAATACAAGATGTAATGCAATGTTGTTTCATCTGCATGATACTTCAGACATATTGTCAGGAGGGACCAGTCCCTGGAGAAGGATATCATGTTTGGTAAGGTGGAGGGTCAGAGAAAAAGAGGAAGACCCCCAATGGGATGGATTGGCCAAGTGGCAGCATCGATGGACTCAAGCGTGGCAACAGTAGTGAGGTTGGCCCAGGATCGGGTAGTGTTTCGTTCTGCTGTGCATAAGGTCTCTATGAGTCAGTACTAACTCGATGGCACTTAACAACAACAACGCAAGGTAGTCAAGATATTATAAACTCTAGTTCTTGTTAGTTGCGTAGTGCCTGGGGTCTCTGAAGCTTGCTAGCAGCCGTATAAGGCACAACACTTAGTTTTGATTTGCCTGGAATACAGCGAGAAAGAGAGTCCGAAATACAAGGAAGATATGAAAGCTATGGCTAATTGCCTCCATGAACAACTGCCTCCATTGTCATGAGACCAAAGAACTGGGCAGTGTCGGGCGGGTACCATTACCAGCAATGCCAAACAGAATTTCAGTTTCTAAGGGAAGAGGCCTGAAGACTGGGCAAAGTCCTGAAATAACAGCTTCTTTAAACCCCGCCCACCTCCCCACCCCCCACCAAAATAGCCAAAATAGCCCCAGACGTCTCCTCCACACCGGAGGGTCGTCTGTTTCCCCAGTAAAAGATCCTGCCTTGAGCAGTCCACTCTTTTAAAATCTCTCTCTGTGGGATCAAAATGAAAACAGCAATTCGAAAGACCAGATAGGAACCTTGAGGGCAGTGAGTTCGTGTTCCCGGTGAGAATGACTACACACTGGGAGGAACATCTTCCACATCACTGAACTGCACTTGGAGAAATGGTTGAACTGGTGTTGTTTTGCTATGTATATTCTCAACAACAAGAAAAACAATTTTTTAAAAAAAATTTGAATATGAGACACATGAACATTCTTCATAAGGAATTTGACACCCGTTTTGGTCTGAGTTGGAATTCATTTGACGGCAGTAGGGTCTTCCTTATTATATGTAGTCTTCACCTAAGGTACATTTCACATGGAACTACCCAGACTGCATTTAGCCATATGCGTCCTGAAGGAAAACGGTTAGTGTATGTTATGTACTAAAAAAAGGCATCTGGAGATAGATAAATTGAGGCATTTAAAAAAGCAAGATCTCAAGGACAAACCTAGGAGTCTACCATGCCTCTGTAGAGGGTGAAAACACACCCAATATTGTCTGGATTTTCGTCTACACACCATGAATAATTGACATTTATTAAGGGTCTCTGTCCACAGAAAACAAGAAGACCCTCTAGATGTGTTGGGACAGTGGCTGCAGCATTGAGCTCCTACACAACCACAACTGGGCGGATGGCGCACGGCCGGGGGAGTGTTTCCTTCCATATATACAGAGTCACTGTGAGTCAGAACCGACTCACTGACACCAACCCGGCTGCAAGCATGCCATGTCCTGTCTCAGTGGTGCTCTCCCAGCTGCAGAGCCTGAGGGCAAGATTGAATGCAGGTATTTATGGGGAGGTGGAGGGACACCTGCATGTACCTTTCTGGGTGGCACAAATGGCTAACCTAAAGGTTGGCCCTTCAAGACCACCCATTAGCACTGAGGAAGAAAGACCTGGTGATCCCCATCCGTAGAGATTACAGTCAAGAAAATCTGGGGCGTTCTACTGCAAAACACGCGGGGTCGCCTTGAGTTGGAACTGATGGGAAGACAGGGGCTGACGGTGGTGCCCTCAGGGCAGGGTGACGAAGCTCAATATTGCCCCTTGTTACAGTCATCTGATGCTGGGAGTTTGTCACCGGTTAGGATTGTCGCCTTGGGGAACATTCCTCCCCAAGGCCATTTCAATAGGATTGTGATCAAGGAGGGTCCAGCACCCTGCCTCAGGGTGGCGGCTCTGGTCAGAGAGAACAGCAAGTTAGTAGGAGCCCAGAAATGCCACAAGCAGATCTGTGAGCATACACGATTACTTCCGTCTTCACAGCAACCCAGCAAGTATGTCCTAAGTGGCTTCAAAAAGTGTCATTTCATTTTCTATGAACTTCTGAAGCCACCTTGTATTGTTACTTAATTTTGTAAATAAAGAAACAGGGGCTCCGGGGGGTAAGCCAGCAGCCCAGCACCACATGGTAAAGAGTTTCCACATTCAAACCAAAGTCTGCCTGACTCCATCTTGTAAGTGTGTTATTTCTCTACTGCAGGGTGATGGCAACTGTATACAAATAAGGTTTGTGTCATGAGGTGGGGACCAACTCAGTGGACACTAACAACAGTCTTTTAATAAATGGACCCAAGTCACAATTATCAAAGGCCATCGCATGACCACCCTTCTGATAGCTGCTAATGTCCCTCCTGACCAGGACTCTACGAACAGCTATTAGGTGTGGTCACGTCAGCTCAGACTTATGGTAACTACGTGGACAGTAGGATAAGATGTTGCCTAGTTTGGCACCACCGCCTTCACTACCGTTGGTGTCCGCTGTTACGTACACTGTGTGTGTTGAATGTCCTCTAGCCCAGGGGCCTCGTCTTTCAGCACGACATCAGACAATGTTCTGGTGTGATCCTTAACGTTCTTAGCATCTTCACTGGCTAACTTTCAGAAGTAGTTCACTGGGCAGTGCAGACTTCCTAGTCTGTCTTAGTCCTGAGGTTTCACTGAAACCTCTCCACCATGGGCAACGCTGCTGTTTAAAATACTGTGGCATAGCTTCCAGAATCTCAGCCACTACAGTATGACAATCTGACAGACAAGAGGTGGTACTTACATATCAGCCACATTATTTTATTTCAAATTGTTGATAGTACTTTTGTAGTGGAAGGGTTACTGCCAGGGATTAATGGATCTGGGTGTTGTCGATGCCAGGAGTTTTGTGCAGGCGGAGTCGAACCGTTCCGTAGGACTTTAAAGGCTGTGACCTTTCAGAAGCTGACAGCCAGATCTGTCGTCTGAGGTACCTCTGGGAGGTTCGAACCTCCAACCGTTCAGCTGGTAGTCAAGTTCCTGTTTAATCATGTGTGCCATACAGGAAGTCCTCGATGACAGTTTCCCAGTGCCAAAACACAAACACCTCAGTCACACAGGGGGCACACCAAGCAAGGTGACCAGCAGTTCATCTAGGTTCACCCACACACAGCTGTTGATCACACCTTCTTCTTAAGCTAAGAACTACAAACAAAGGTCTGGAGGTGAGGCAAGTTATATTTCACACAATTATTCACACTCCGAGGAGAGGACTTGGCCACCGGAACATCAGTATTGGAGAAACATTTCACCTCAAATGTGGTTAAGAAAGAAACTGAGACGAAAGGCATGAACACCACTCTTCAGAACCAACACAGTAAAATGTGACTTCCAATGTGGATCACATGATACCAGGGGATGGGTAAAATGATCTCCCCAGAATTTATGGGGGATGTTAATGGCATCACTCTGCCACAATATAACACACGTTCAAGGTGTGGACAGTGTCACAACCACACAGATGTGTGTGTTGTTGTTGTTGTTTGTTTTTCCTCATCCATGATCGTTGTTGTTAAGCGCCATTGAGTCAGTTCCAACTCATAGCAACCTTGTGTAAGGTTTCCAAGGAGCAGATGGTGGATTTGAACTACTGAACTGGTGGTTTGTGGTCATTCAGTGCTGATTAGCACTCCATAAAATCAAAGGAAATACAGAATCTACATGAGGAAATAGCAAAATAGCATCACACATTTTGGTAATTCGCTTTAGCTGATCTAAAAAAGAAGCAAAGCCGGCTAGTCAGTCTCCATTTGTCTGTAGGATGAAGCTTGAGTGCAGAGTCTCCTCTTTGAAAGGGTTTCCCTCCAGAAATGGCAGGGGTTTCTTCCTGATTTTCCCAGAGTCATTACCTCGGCCGTGAAGCAGGGCCTCAGAAAGAATCAACGTCCTCTCTCCTCTTAATAATCTTGAGCATGGACATCCTAATTTTATATGAATTTTCTCTTCACACACATACACACAAACCTCAAATACTATATACCTGCCGCCTTTGAAGCCTTCTTCCATCCAATGGGCTAAAAATAAACAATGTTATCAGTGGGACCATAAGGTGCAGAATTCCGTATTTGCTGAAGGAAATGGTTTTGCTTCTCAACCAATCCCCTAAAATAACCTAATAGGTTGCTAGGTAGTAAAAACTGGCTGCCTCCTGGTCCACAAGCACTCTCCGTACCTGAGTGTTTGTAAGTGGCTTTCCACAATTGGGGTTTTTAAAGATCATACTATGATACAGTCTAAGTCCTCTCCAGATCAGCATACAGAATCAGATGGCATGCTACCAGCACCGTGTGATTCAAAGACGCACTTTTAAAATCATGCAATCCCAAACCAACGGTGCACGTTTACCATTTGGAAGGGGGTGGGGGGAAGTTTATACATGCTAATTCTGATCCCATTGCATGTACTCCCTTACAGTTCACGGAGCTGTAACTCCTGAAATGCTACGAAAGTGAAGATCACCTTGTAAGTGATCGGCTTTGAAATGAAAATTTTACACAATCACTTCTCCCTCTCATTGTACACATTTACGGAGTATCTGTCCACACACTGCACATCAGAAGCTAAACAGGCTAACGGAGACAGCTGTGTGATGAGAGAGGTTTCAGAAGCTACAAAAGAATGCTCTCAGGGGTGATTCAGGCATCCCAAGTGTTTTGCTTTGCGGTTTTCCGAGAGCCGCATTCACAGCCCCCCAAGACCAAACCCATTGCTATTCAGTCCATTTGGACTCCCCAGCAGGTGATTTCTGAGACTGTGTATCTTTACACAAACAGACCACCTCGTCGTTCTCCTGAGAAATGGCTGGTGGGTTTGAACTGCTCACCTTGTGGCTAGCAACCTAATACCTAACACAACCACAACATCACTTGGATGCCAAGGCACTGTAATATCATGCTAAGACAAGACGCAGACAGAGAAACCACCAGGCTTTAAAATGGACTCATTTTTCTCTTCTTTTACTACAAAAAGTCCAAATGCTTCAGGCTGTTTTAGAACATGGTCAAGATCCTACAAAGCACCTATATAAATTGTTGTTGTTGTTAAGTACTGTGGAGTCGGGTCTGACTCATAGCGACCCTGTACAGGGTTTCCAAGGCTGTAAATCTTTACGGGAGCAGAAAGCCTCATCTTTCTCCTGCGGAACAGCTGGGAGTTTCGAACTACCAACCTTGAGGTTAGCAGCCCGATTCGTAACCACTACGCTACCAGAGCTCCTTAGCACCAAAATTCAGATCAACGTCTGGGATGTTTAAGAACCTGCTCAAATATTAACAGAGAGGCATCCCCATACCTCCACAATGTGCCTGTTTATATTTCACAAGAAAATGATTCTGAGTGTAGTTGTTGTTAGGTGCCATTGAGTCGGTTCCGACTCACAGCGATCCTGTATAGAGGGTTTCCAAGCCCATAAATCTTTACGGGAGCAGAAAGCCTCATTTTTCTTCCCTGGAGTAGGTGAGTGGTTTTGAACTGCCAATCTTGCAGTTAGCAGTCCAGGGCTTATTCTACAGACTCAGAGATCTTTCCCCAGACGGATGGATGGGGGGAAATTCATTAAATGACTTAAGAGTACATACAGTTAATATGCTATGCTGTTCCAGGAACGGTGGGCAGTACAAGTCTACTCAAAAGTCATTCAGAGGAAAGGTCGCCTACTTTGAAAATCACCAGGAAACCCTATGGAGCACAGTTCTGCTCTGAACCACGTGGGGGCGCTGTCTTAGTTCTATCAGTTAGTGCTGGATAGATATGACCCTCACAGGCTGCCATGACCACACAGTGACTCTGCAAACAGGTCCTGGAATGCTCACGAGGCTTTCAGACATCCCCTTATGCTGTACCGTGGGTGAAGGAAAGACAGACAGGAGCACAGAGGTAGCCCACACCGATTTTAGGGACAATCACCTGCACTGACAGGTAATCCCACCCCCAGAAAATGCCACTTCATAGACAGTAAATCCAGAGGACACAGGTGGCCAGCCCAGCGTACCTTCACATCTGTGCTGTCACTGGAAGGCAGGTCTGGGCTCTATTTATGGCTCAGCCACTTAAAGAATGTGTCAAGTTACGGAAATGAAAAACATCCTCTGGGCGTTGGCATCCCCGCCTGTGATCCTGGTAATACGGTCATTTCTACCACCCATTTGTCTGTGGGTCTCACTGTGGTGACCCACGTGTTGCTGTGATACTGGGAGGTAGAGCCCAGGTATTTCAAATACCTGCAGGGTCACCCACGGTAGATAGGTTTCAGGGCAGCTTCCAGATGAAGACTAGGAAGAAAGGTATGGAAATCTACTTCTGAAAATTAGCCCCTGACAACCTATGGATTCCAGCTGGAGAGTGTTTGCTATCTTGCTGGGAGCTGAGGCCCCTGGGATGGTCACAACCATGGGTGCTGCAGTAAACCAACATTGGTGAGGGTGCCCGAGCTGGACAGCATGTCTTTCTGTTGCACCTGAAGTCGCCGTGAACTGGAGCGCATGGATCAGCCACCAAGAGCAACAGAATATGCCATTTACCTTCCCAGGTGGTGATGAAGATGGTGCACAAAGTACCTGAAGCATTTGGCAGAGTGCTTGGACACACAGTGGCCAGTGAAGTTAGGAGGGTTTTGGAACTCATTTGTCCATCTGTGTCTGTCAGTCTGTATCAGGAAGGTCAGGGGAACTGTGTTCAGAAGAAAAACCCTATTGGATTCAACCCTCCTTACACACCGTCTAGGGAAGTCAAAGGAAAACGCCGCCCAGGAGAAGCAGGACACTATGAGGGCAGGCAGACCCGGCTGTCCAGCGCACACCAACCTTGGCTGTGTTGGTCCATGGGACTCTGGGGAGGGCCCATTCCTGGGTGCGGGGGGCGCATCCCAGTGTTCTTCAGTGAGCCGCAGTGGCTCTCTTCTGCAGTTCCCTTGTCGTGCATCCCATCAAGGGGCTGAAACAGTAGAAGACATGCATTAGACACTTCCCTGAGGCACACGACTTGTACTATTAAATAGTGTATGACGTTTCTGGTCTGAAGCTATAGGATAAGCACTGGCTGGCTTACCGAAAGGTCAGTGGTTCAAATCCAGCAGCCAGTCCTCTGAAATCCTACACAGGGTCGCTATGAGTCGGAACTGACTCCACAGCCCTTAACACCTAGATATCTCCTTCGTGGCATTGTAGGATAAGGATTGAGCTGTTAGGTGCAAGGTCCATGGTTCAAACCCACCGGCTCTACAGAAACCCTATACTGAGTCACTATGAGTCTGAGCCAGCTCAACAGCATTTAACAATATATCCACGGAGTCCTGGTGTGCACTGTAGGATAAAGTACTGGACCACAAGGGGGGTTTGAACCATCAGGTCAGTTCAAACTCACCAGCAGCTCCTTGGAATCGCTATATGTGATCACTATGTGTCAAAATTGCCTCGACAGCACTTAACAATAGTATTATATATATTATACATACATACACACAGGAGCTCTGGTAGTGTAGTGGTTATGAACTGGGCTGCGAACCACAAGATCAGCAGTTCGAAACTACCAGCGGTTCTGCAGGAGAAAGATGAGGCTTTCTGCTCTCGTAAAGATTTACAGCCTTGGAAATCCTGTACAGGGTCGTTAGGAGTCGGAACTGACTCCATGGCACATGACAACAACAATATATATATATATATATATCGCAGCCCGATACATATATATAGACATAGATATACATATACATGTACATAAATGTATATATGGAGCTCTGGTAGCATAGCGATTATGAATCAGGTTGCGAACCTTAAGGTCAGCAGTTCGAAACTATCAGCTGTTCTGCAGAAGAAAGATGAGGCTTTCTACTCCTGTAAAGATTTACAGCCTCGGAAACCCTGTACAGGGTTGTTCTGAGTAGGAACCGACTCCACGGCACATAACAACATAAATATGGACTCCAGCTGTGGTGCTGTAGGATAAGCACTGGACTGCTAACTTGAAGGTTGGTGGTTTAAACCTACTAGCCACTCCTCAGAAACCCTATCCACTGGCGCTGTGAGTTGGAATCTAGTAGACAGCAATTAACAAGAAGATGCTTCCCTGGTGGCACTGTGGGGTAAGCACTGAACTTTCAACTGTAAGGTCGGGGGTTCAAACCCACTAGCTGCTCCCAGGAAGAACGATGAGGCGGTAGTTCCACAGAGACTAACAACCTGAGAATCCCAAAGGAGTGCTTCAGTCTGTCCTGTCCGGTTGCTATGATTCAGTATTGACTAGCCGGTACAGACTTTGGTTTGGTTGGTCAAAGGCCCTTCCCGAATGCTTTCAAAGATATAATGCATTTATTAATCACCTATAAAATAATCTTATATTTTAACACTTCATGTTGTTAAGTGCCTTCGAGTCACGTCCAACTCATAGCGACCCTGTATAGGGTTTCCAAGGCTGTAAATCTTTACAGGAGTAGAAAGCCTCATCTTTCTTCTGCAGAACAGCTGATAGAACTACTGGACTTGAACTACTGGAATTGAACTACTGACCCTGTGGTTCGCAGTCCAGTGCTTATCCTATAGCACCACACCAAGACTCCTAAACTCACTGTTGTTGCTGTTAAGTGCGATTGAGTTGATTCTGACCCATAGCGACCCTGTATAGGGTTTCCGAGGAGCAGCTGGTGAGCTTGAACCACCACCTTGCAGTTGAAACGACTTTGCAGTCTGGCGCATTAGCCCACAGCGCCACACCAAAGACCCTATATAGGGTTTCCGAGGAGCAACTGGTGAATTTGAACCACCGACCTTATGATTTAAATTAACCTTGCAGTCCAGTGCATTAACCCACAGCACCACACCACGACCCCTAACAACTCAGTAGTTGTTAAGTTGTTAAGTACTGTCAAGTTGGTTCCAACTCATAGCGACCCTGTCTGTATAGGGTTTCTAAGGAGCAGTTGGTGGGTTTGAACAGCCAACCACATGGTTCATAGTCCAGTGCTGATCCTACAGCGCCATACCAGGAGTCCTCATAGGTGAGGGGAAAATCAACAACAAAAAATATCCACACCTATATGATGAACATGATTAGCTGTGAAGTCAGAGGTTACAAAAAGAAAAAATAAAATACCAGTTTACACGGAGTTGATTCCAGCCAGAGATTAACACTTTGGTGAACTAGTTCAAAAAAAAGGAAAGAAAAAAAAAAATCACTTTATAATACCAACACCTACAAATAAAAACGAAGCTAGACAAAGACAAGTGAGTCGTCCATACCCTTTTAAATCTTGAAAGTTGTCGTGTGTTGAAGTGAGTCTGAAGTCTGAAGGATGGCTAGTTGAAATGTCTGTGATTATCTAATTTTTGGTAATTTTTTTTTTTTTTTTCCATCAGAGAGGAAGGAATTATGGAAAGTTGACAACCAGGATCCAGAAGGTTCCACGGCAGTTGGAAAGAGGTGAACAGACAGTGGAGAGTGTTGCTTGGGGGGATCATTACAGAGAAGGAGGGTCCCGTAGACAGAGCTGTTACATACAGGGAGAAAACACTAGAAAGTCAGAAACACAGCGGTTAGGAAAGAAAGACGAGCCCACATGTCTGGAGACAAGACAAATCATTGTTGAACTGACGCTAATCCAATCCAGAATGGGGCAGGCAAGCATGTGTTTGGGAGAAAGAAAAGGAAATGTCTATTTCTTCCCAAACTGGATCAACAATTTTCAAAATAGCTTGAAAGGAAGATTTTCCAGAAGTTCATCAAAACCAAATGACTTCAAGCAAAAAGTTGGGAGTGCCTACAGATTTGGAGAAAAGAAAACTTCATTTCTGCAGCGTCAAAAGCATCGAAAAGAGGAGAAAATTACTATAAAGAAAATCTTCAGAGGAAAAGCGGAAGACTCTGTGGTGAAGTCACCAGGCAGGTGACAAAAGGAAGAAAAGAAGAGGTCAGAGCTCAGGCCCTTGTTTACTCCTAGCCTTTGGAAAGCATAAAACCTGAGACTCAGAGGAGAGGAGAGAGATAGGGCAGCGAGAGGCCTACAAAAGGAATGGGAGAAAAGAGCAGCATCTGGTCAGCAGGTGTGCGCTCTGCCTACCTCCCAGCTCCATGCTAAGGGAAGCTGGGGGGGGTGGGGGTGGAGTGCCGTTCAGCCAGGTCAGACTCACAGCGTCCCTGCAGTTTTGCATTTCCAAGGAGTGGCTGGTGGGTTTGAACCACCGACCTTGCCATTAGCAGTCCAGTGCTTACCCTACAGCACCACAACAGGACTCCAAAAAGGGCAGATCTGCCTCCCCGTCAGGGAATCAAAGCCTGGTCTCCCCCGTGACAGGGAGGAATGTCCACAACTCTAGAATGAGGGCGGCTGGGCACGAGGAAACACAGAATGGCCCCAAATGCAGAACTTGCAAAAAGGGACAAAAAACAAACCCAAAAAAGGAGTAGAGATGAGGATTAAAACTATGAGGAAGCTGCCAAGATGCTGGGTAGCCAAACAGAAGGACACAGGTAAAAATTAAAACAATCCAGTAGGAAAAGCAAACAGCAACCCAACACTTCACAATAATAGTGCTGCTGGTGGTGAGTGTCCATACTGACCCCATGTGACATAGAGCTGCCCCATAGGTTCCCTCGTATGGGAGCCCATCATCGGGCTCTTTCCCATGGAGCCAGTGGCTGGGTTCCACCTTCGGTTGATGGTTGAGTGCTTAAGCACTGTGACACCAGGGTGCCTTATAAATCACACTGCTGTTCTTGTTAACCACTGGTGCCTCGCCTTCGAATCACAGTGACCCCCATCTAGGGTTTCTGAGGAGCGGTTGATGGGTTTGAACCTCTAACCTTGCAGTCAGCAGTCCACTGTTTATCCCACACCACCAAACCAGGACTCCTAACCATCATGAGGACTAGCCAAATAATTTCCTCCCAATTTTACCTTTCTTTATGGAGGCAAAACACCCTCAAACTCATCTGGAAGTAGGACTTGAATCACTCAGGCTAAAGTTGATAAGAGACAGATCAAATCTAATAGAGCTCCCCAAAGACTCTGATCTAAGTGCACAGCAAGCTCCAATGACCAAAGGCACCATATCTCTCCATAACATAATACGGAAAACACGCAGGTCTGTCTCTCTAGATGGTGGTCATGCTAAAAACAGATCTGAATAAAATATAGAGGTCTTGGGAATACTGTAAGGGATAACCAAGACATATGATTAAATGAAACCAAGAAGGAAATAATAGGGATAATATGATTGGATGATGGTAAAAGAAAAAAAAAAGTCATAATTACGTATTTGCTTTTATTTTACTGAACGACAAAAAAGTAAGGTGTGAAAAGAATCCACAACAGACTGCTCACATTGTTTACCTGGGGTGAAGCTACGATGAACCATTTCCTACTTCCCCGATGGTACAAACAGCTGGCACACTTGACTGCTAACCCAAAGATGGAAGGTTGAAGTCTAGTCAGATGTCTCTCAGAAGAAAGGTGTGGCAATCTATTCCTGAAAATTCAGCCCCTAAAAACCCTGTAGAGCACAGTCGTACTCTGACACATCACATACATGGGGGGACATGACTCAGAATTGACTGGAGAGCAACTGGGGGTCTGCTTGTTTATTTCCATATTGTTTTACTTTTTGAAATCAGCACTTTGTACTTAGCTGAGTTGTTATTGTTGTTGTTGTGTGCCGTGGAGTCGATTCCGACTCATAGCGACCCTGTACAGGGTTTCTGAGGCTGTAAATCTTTACAGGAGCAGAAAGCCTCATTTTTCTACCATGGAACAGCTGGTAGTTTCGAACTGCTGACCTTGCGGTTTGCAGCCAGATTCGTAACCATTATGTTACCAGAGCTCCTTTAGCTGGGTTAAGAATCATCAAATACAGAAAAGTCTTTTTAAAAAAATTCTGTCTTTCCTTTTGTGGACTGAAGCCTTTCTTAAACTGACCTAAAGTCCTATGTAATTCGAGCAAGCACTT